TTTTGTCTTTTTGAGACAGGGTCTCCCCGTAGCCCCAGCTGTCCTGGAACTCACTGTGTAGACTAGGCTGGCCTTGAACTCACAGAGATCTGCCTGCCCCTGCCTCCCAAGTGCTGGGATTAAAGGCGTGCACCACCATGCCCAGCCTCTTTAATATTTTTAAGATGCTGGGGACTGAATCCAAGGCCCTGCACATGCTAGGCAAGCATATACCACTAGCAACATTCCTAATCCTCTTAAATCAATGTGCTTTATGGTGACTGTGATGGCTAATCCTGCGTGTCAACTTGATTGGATCTGGGATTAACTGAAATGAGAGAGATCTTCTTGATCGGATCATCTGAAACTGGAAGACACACCCTAATTGTGGGTGTTACCTTCTGATGGCAGCCTTAAAAGGCCTTGGCAGAAGAGATCGCTTGTTTTTTGCCCTTGCCTTCTCGGTCACTGGTGATCTCGTCTTGCTGCTGTAGACTGAAGACTAGCAGATCTTTTGGAATTCATCAGACCTTCAGCACTAGATGGGGACTACTGAGACATCCAGCCTTGTGGACTAGGCGACCACGGATTCTTACCTCCCAGATCTTTAAAGCAACTGGTATATATTCATTCTACCAGTTGTTTCTTTAGAGAACCCTAATACAGTGACCAAAATAAAACTGATTTTTATTTGTGCCATTTAATACAGAAAGCAAATAGCTTTGATATCACTCAAACACAGATTTAAAGTGTGGCTGTGTGTGATCTTAAATGTATCACAACACACCTCAACATGTTATGAGGATTAACTGGGGCAATACACTTCAAGTATCCAACTGCCATGAACCTTCATTAGACTAAAGCCTGCTCCTCTTCCACTATTGCTTCAGCTCAGCTACTAGTGACATCTTCCATCTCTAAAATCTAGTCCCTCCCCTCCATGTCGTATACGGCCCTAATCTAAAATACTCTAATTCTACAGGGCTCCTGAAGAGCTTCCTAACACCACCTACATCACCAGAGTCCTTCTTGACTACTTCAATTCATTCTTAAACAACAGTCAAAGTTAATATACTTAAAGCATAAATCTGATCCGTTCAGACACTTCAGTGGCTATGTACACAGTCCTGCAAGTATGGCCTCTAATACCCCAGCTGCAGCATAGCACACCACTCTACTCCACCTTCTTCACTATCCTTTCTCTGAACAACCAGGAAACCTGCTCAGAACAACCCAAGGGCCAGTGCCTAGAACTCCCCACCACCAACTATCGCATCCTTCACATTCCCATGCATCCTTCAGATCTCCGTTCATCACTTCCTCAGAAAACCTTTCTTTTCCTCCAACGACAGAAATCTCCCCTCTAACATAACTCTTAAAGCTTTTTGCACCTGTCTTCACGGGGATTATAAGAGCTGCAATTCTAAGTATTTTTTTGTTTTGTTTTGTTTTCTGTTTTCAGATCTTTCCCATTGGTGCAGTGTTTCTAACAACTTCTGTCTATCACCATGTCTCACCATGTCCTTAGAACTCAGCACTATTTTCAATGCTATTAGTATCTGGTTAAGGCATCTTAGACATACCAACCCAGAATATGGCACACAATTGGCAGAACAACCCCAGACTTTACAAAGAGCACACTGTAGAGCAGAGACTGTGCTCTTACCTCCCAGATCTTTAAAGCAACACAAAATTGTCTTTTCTTTTTTGGAGGCAGGGTCTCACTCTGCAGCCCAGGTTGGCCTCAAGATATATTCAACTTCTCAATTTCATAGTATTAGAGCCAAAGTACTCTTAACCTTTTAAAAACATTTACTAATTTCAATAATAAACCTCCCTACAGATCCACATGTTCCACATTCATGTACTCAACCAACTGCATACCAAAAAAATAAGAAGCTGGGCATGGTCACACACAACTAAAATGCCAGCACTTGGGAGGCTAAGACTAGAGGATATCAGGTTTGAGGCAAAAACAAAGCAAAAAGCGGGAGAAAAAACTCCTGCAACTTTCTAATATGTACAGACTTCCTTTCTTGTCATTATTCCCTAAACAGTACAGTCTAACAACTGATCGCAAAGCATTTCTGTTGTGTCAGATAGTTTAAGTCATCCAGACATGGGAGAATATGTGTAGGTTATAGGCAAATAGTATGCCATTTTCCCCAGAGGACTTGAGAAACCAGGTGTACTTTAAGTCAAGTGAGAAGAGGCACACTCCTATAATCCCAGCACTGGGAAGCTGAGACAACAGGATTAGAAGTTCCAGGCCAGCCTGGGCTACACAGTAAGTTTAGTTTCAAAAAGAAAAAGACATGAGAATTGTCAGAAGACTAAAACCAATCTCTATAAAAACCAAGATTCATTTACTATTAAATATGCCAATATACACATGTTATTTTAGAATTACAATTATAAATAACAAATACTCCAAACTTACTGGAATCCCCTGTAGCTGTGGCTTATCTAGAAGATTATGTAGTTCATTTCGAGAAGCTTCTATCTTTTCACGATCTGCAGCATCTATCATGTAACTTAAAAAAAAATAGTCATCTCAACATGCTATCTTCATAAATCTTGATGAACTAGGTCTATGGATTTTTAATTTTCTTAAGATTTACATTATTGAGCTAGGCATGGTGGTGCACGCCTTTAATCCCAGCACTTGGGAGGCAGAGGCAGGCGGATCTCTATGAGTTCAAGGCCAGCCTGGTCTACATAGTGAGTTCCAGGACAGCTAGGGCTACAGGGAGACCCTGTCTCAAAAAGACCAAAACAAAAAAAAATTTTACATTATTGAAATAATTAATCAAAAGAAATTAAGTCCCAGGTAAAGAAAAATTCAGCATGTATAAATACTTTGTACTAGATTGCTCACAGCAGCTAATGCATGCTATATTTAGGAAAACACTTGATCCCTTAGTGCTTAGAAGTAAACAAGAGCATAAACAAAGGTCTTAGTCTATGACTAATTTTTAATCTCATATTAATGGAATTACTCAAAGATAGTAGCTAAGAAAGACATTTACTAAGATAAAGGCGAGCCCACCTTTGAGGCACTGGAAACAACTTACACGATAGCATTGACCCCTCGGCAGTACCGCTCCCACATGCTCCGGAATCGGGGCTGGCCTCCTATGTCCCAGATCTTTAATCAAAACAAGGCAATTCTTAATACAGATGCTTCAAATAATTCACTGAATGAGGTAATGTCAGAAGAAGTAGAGAATGATCATAAAGGTATGTTCAATTCAATTTTACAAAGCCAAAGCACTCCTAAAGTCTTGACCATGAACTCAATCTGTGAATCTTGGGGCCACTTCTAAACTTGAAATACTAAATATGCTTATGCTAGAGCCTAAACTCTGCTAGAACAATGACTCGGTTAAACGTGATTCTAAATACCTGTTAACCAATACATTTCTAATACCAAATGTATACAACTTTTAAGTTAACAACTATCTACAAGGCCATGCATGCATCATCCAGATGTGAAGACCAAGACAGAAAACAGTTCAGAATCTACTAAAGTTTAAGAGTCTCACTAGGGATACATAAATACTCTTTTAAAATTATCCTGTAAATAATATAGCCAACATTCTTAACTTGGTGTTTTCCTAGGAATTCCATGGTCATGCCAACCCTACTGGGCACTATGCTAGACACTCTTACATTACAGCATTTATTTTTAAAAGATTTCCAACTTAGGCATGGACGCTGGTAAAGTTCACACAGACATATAAGCAACTAAATGGGGAGCTTCCTGAGGGGAGCCTGAGAGAGAGCTTAGTGAGTAAATTCTGTCAGCCACAAGAACCTGGTAATGCAGTCACATGGTTCAGGCCAGAGAAGTAAACTCACTCAAATTACATAACCAAAACAATAGCCACAATAAAAAAGTTAAAACTTTATTCCTAAAAGTCCAGGATTTAAACCTGACAAATTCATTCTAAAACAAAAATTCTGTTCATTAGTTACATTTTCCCTATTTTATAGTTAATTTTGGGCTAATTAAAAAAAAAAAACTAAATTTACAATATTTGCTGTCACAAAGATACTACACTGATAATATTATAAGCAATTATTACCTTTCAGCATGAAACACTGCTCTGCTGGGTGTGGTGACACACTCCTTTAATCCCAGCACTTGGGAGGCAGAGGCAGGCTGATCTCTGTAGTTCAAGGCCAGCCTGGTCTACATAGCAAATTCCAGGCCAGCTGGAGCTACAGGGAGATCCTGTCTCAAAAAAAAAAAAATTAAAAAAAAAAAAAAAAGAAATACTGTAATACCAAAAATCTAAATAAACACCCTAAGAATAGGATTTCTATTTCCTGGAACTCTTTAAATACTAAACATAACTTCTGCTAATCCATATGGCAAGTTGGGGGGGGTTGCTTTTTTTTTTTTCCTTTTTCTATTGGCACTTAACTACATTTCAACTCTTAAGCACTGACCTATCACAGAAAAAAAATCTGATTACAGTGTTTCAGAACATATCCATTCATTGCTTTAGGAATTTCAAATATCAGGTAAAACCAGAGAACCTAAAAGAAAAGTTCCTCTTTACAATTTGAACCAAGTATGAAGAAAGGGGACAAGCAACAAACACACCCATACTACATGCATGCATGTACATGTACCTACATGCATACACATACTGACATGAATACACACAAATGTACATGCACACATACCAACATGTATACAAACATATATATGTGCGTGCACACACACACACACACACACACACACACACACACACTCAAGTATTAGGAGAAGCTGACGTACCTTTATTGTGACGTTCCCTTTGGTTACCTTCCTCATGTTGAAGCCCACTGTGGGTATCATATCTTCACTGAACTGACCTGACTAAACAAAAGAAAACATTTGAAGTTAGACTAATAAATATGCATAAAGACAGCCATAACATTATATTGCTTCTAGCATGAATACTGCATTTGTACATGTTTTTAAAGTGTGTGTGTGTGTGTGTGTGTGTGTGTGTGTGTGTTGGGAAACTAAGAAAATGTTCCTGACAGCCATGATTCTTGAAGAACTATGTATGAGCCCTATTTTCCTCACAGAAAATATCTCATTTAAAGGAGATGTGTCTGGGCCAGGGAGATGGCTCAGTGAGTAAAAACTTGTCCCTCGAGCCTAACAACCTGACTTCAATCCTTGGGACCCACATGAAGGTGGAAGGAGAAACCTATTTCATAAAGTTGTCCTCCTTTCCACGCCCCTCCTCACATGCATATGCCATGGCACACATGCCCCACCCCAATCAAGTATATACCACACACACACACACAATAACATGAATAAAATGCTTTAGAGTATATTTTTGACCAAGCATGGTGGCTCACACCTGCAATCCCAGTACTCAGGACACTGAGGCAGAACTGCCCCAAGTTTGAGGCCTGTTTGGGCTACATAGCAAGTATCAGGCCAGCCAGGACTGCACAGCAAGACGCTGTCTCAAAAAGGAGGGGGGACATTTTGGATATGTGATGACATTCCTTGCAGATTTTCCTAAGTTAAAAAAGGGACTGTTTTTATATTACATATGAAAAGTTATAAATTCTTGCACCTATACACTTACCTTCACATACAAATGAGAAGAAATCCAAAAGTAAAACTTCAGTTTTGTTTTCAGTGGTTAAATTTTTTTGACAATAAATGTTAAACTTTACTGCTACATAGTTTTTTTTTAGTTTCTTTTAATAGGGTTTATGAATATATTGTAATATAGAATTCCCTTTTATGAATCAATTTTTTTCTTTTTGGTTTTTAGCTTCAATATACAAAATTAAGTATTACAATTATTCTTCTTTTTGGTCTTTTTGAGACAGGGTCTCCCTGTAGCCCCTATCCTGGAACTTACTATGTAGACCAGATTGGCTTGGAACTCACAGAGATCCGCCTCCATCTGCCTCCTGAGTGTGGGGATTACAGGCGTGCGCCATCATGCTCAGCCTTTACAATACTGTTTTATGAATTTTTTTACACTTAAAATGTTCATCCAGGGATGGTAGGATGGCTCAGTAGGTAAAGGCTCTTGCCACAAAGCCTCTTGATTCAAGATCACCAGGACACAGACACACACATACACACGATGGAAGGAGAGAAATGAGTTCTGCAAGTTATCCTTTGGCCTCCACACACACTGTGGAATGCACACACATGGATGCACAGGCACATACAATAAATATATGTAATAAAAAATTTCATCTATTTGATGATTTACTTCCAGGAAGTTTCTTTTTTGGCTAGATAGCCAATAGCCACTACATCACACTGCTTTAAATATCACTGCATAAAGATCAAGAATTCAGAATGTTTCCAAAATGTCTTGATTCATCTCCCACATTCCAAATAAACTTTAGAAATTGATAATTTTATTAACACATCAGCCACAATTACACTACACTAGCCTGGAATTTGCTGTGTAAACCAGACTGGCCTCAATCTCACAGAGTTCCACCTATTTATGCCTCCCGTGTGCTGGGATTAAAGGCAAGAGGGCATCACCACATCACCACGCTACCATGCCTGGCTGAGAAGAGCCACCTGTCTTTAGCTGATATCAAGTCTCTCCATCCAGGCACCTGATTATCCACTTAGTTAATCTAATCTCTTGCAGCTTTTGGTACAGCATCATATAATTCATGAATCTTACATTTCACACCATGTTCTTTGCTGCTAAGAAGTACATCTTACTGAACTACAGTTAATACTAGCTTTATGTTTATATTCTAGACACTTGACCAACTGTTGGTATTTATCAGTTGAACTGACTGATTTTTAAGGTCAACAATGTACTGGTTGAACAAACAGGACTACTTTCAAGGGACAAACAAATAAGACTACCATAGCTTTCAAGGCCCTAACACTGGCTGACTGACTGTGTGCTGTGACGACATGCTACCCACACATGCATTCCATAGTTTTCAGTTCTCAACACACTGAACTCCAATTGTGTAAATTAATTTCCTATGCAAAAGTCAGTTCTCATTTCTGTTTTCTGTTCAATAGTGTTTTGGTTGATTCAGGAAAAATGTTAACAACTACAATCACTATTTTCATTTATAATTCAACATTATTCATTCTCAGAACTTTCACAAATGATTTTTTTTTTTTTTTTTGAGATTCTCAGTGTCCCAGAATAGCCTGGAACTCACTACACAGGCAACACTGGCCTTAAACTTGTGGCAATCATCCTTCTCAGCCTCCTAGGTACTGGGATTACAGTCATGAGACACCACACACAGGCTTCATGATTTATGTAAAAATCTACTGCCATTAAAATGATGTATCAAAACCAGTCATGATATGCTATATACAAATAAGCACATGAAAAGATGCTGACCATCACTAGTCATCAGGGAAGCACAAATTAAAAACAGAGATATTACACATATTAAGATGGCTACTAAAAAAATAAAAATAACTTCAAACTCTGAAAATAAGTGTTGTTTGGCCCAGTGGCATACATCCGCAATCCTAGCACTCTGGAAGCTAAGGCAGGAAGATCACAAGTTCAAGGCCAATTTGGGTTACATGGTCAAACTCTTATTTCAAAAAAAATTAGTGTTGGCAAGCATGTAAAGAAATTGAAGCCTGTGGTCTGCACTGCTGGTAACGTTAGGGTTAAATAGCTGCTATTTAAAAAAAAAACAAAAACAAAAAACAAACAGCACAGTGGCTCCTCAAAACTAAAAGCAATACTACATACACACTGGCTATGACTTGGAGATGGTTTGAGGATGGCTCATGTACTGGAGCTTGGCCCAGTGTGGCAGTACGGGTTCTTACAATGTGAGTCTAGTGGAAGGTGTCAGACCATCAAGGCCTCAGAGAAGACTGCAGTAGTTCTCATAGCAGTTAGATCTTGAGAGAGCAAGCTGTTAAATCCTAAAGCCTGACCCCTAGTCCCTGATGGTCCCGTGCCTTGCACTATGATCACTTCCTCTATACACACAAACCCCACTTTCACACCAGTTTCCACGAGATCCTTACCAGAACCACACTGAAGGAGGTATATGCACCTGGAACTGTAGGCTAAATTATCCCTTTTCTCTACAAAATTGAAATTGTAACCTGAATTAAAGGGGGCTTAGGAAGGCTGTTTTTATTTCTTCCTTCTTTTCAACTTAGGAGTGCAATTTTGTTTTCTCCCAACGAATCCTTTTTCCTGCCTTTTTTAAATTTATTTTTTAATTAAGAAAACAATTCTATGTGTATGAGTGCTTTGCCTGCATGTATGTAAGTACACCACGTTTGTAATACCCATGGAGGACAAAAGAGGGCATTGGATTCCCTGGAACTGGAGTTTCAGATCGTTGTTAGCCACCATGTGGGTGCTGGGAACCAGCACAGGAGCAGCCAGTGCTCTTAACTGCTGAGCTATCTTTCCAGCCCCACTTTCCCTTTCCTAATGTCTAATTGTAGAATTAGTTCAAATGCACTGATGTCAAGTGTAGTACAGCAAGCCGTTAGTAATCTAAACGAAGTAACTAAGATAGGAAGATTATAAACTCAAGATCAGCCTGGGCTACATAGTAAGACCCTGTCAAAAAAGAAAACTGAAATCCAAACACAAAGGACTGTATGATTTCATCTTTATAAAATATTCAGAAAAAGTACAGGAAGTAGATTATGGGTTGACTGGGGCTCAAATTAGAAAGATATGTGCAGTAGATTGCTGGCCAAGGGATCTTACTGAGGGAAGAAAAGGTTTGAAAACTTTGTAGGTTAAGGCTGCACAACTCACCCAGTTTATTAAAAGTCATTGATCTATATACAGAATATTAGTGAATTTTATGGTATGGAAGTGATATGTAAGTTAACAAAGGGGAGGGGTAATCACCCAAGGGCTGAAGATATAGCTTAGCAGTTAGGTAAATTACTGGGTTTGGACCTTAGCATGAGCACTGACTGTTCCCTGTGTACTGCCCACTCCCGGGTTATAGGAGCGCTCGCAATTACGATGCAGCTATCAGGAAGTATAAAGCAGAGCTGGCTGTGATGGAAAACAGACACACAGACCTCATACAAGCCTCTGAATAATTAGGTTTCCTTAGATTCCTGGGTACAAGATGCTCTGGACTGAGATAACACTCTCAACCCACGTTCCAGAGCTGGACATTTATAGAGACTAATGAACTACCCTGGAGCTCACCTGACTGAAGTCACATTCCCAAAGACGATGCTGTATGAACCTGATTTTGGTAACACTAGTGAAGGTGGGACAGGCACTGGCCTCCCATCTTCAACACTTTGCTAAGAAGTGGCTGGCACTTTGCTAAGAAAACCTTTTCTCCTGTCACTGTTTCTGTAGTTACTGCCTTTCTTCTGAAGCCTCAGGTCTTTTATCCACATCATCCAAAATGGTTTAATATTCCATCTTATCCAGCAACTACCCTTCTGAATACAAACCCAAAAGAACTGAAAGCAAGGATTCAAAAGACATTTTGTATACTCGTGATTATAGGGGCATTATTTAAAACAGCCACACACTGGGCATGGTGGCAGACACCTTTAATCTGAGCTCTCGGGAGGCAAAGGCAGACAGGTAGGTCTCTGTGACTTTGAGGCCAGTCTGGTCTACAAAATGAGTTCCAGGCCAGCCAGAACTACATATATAGTGACTGAGACCCTGCCTCAAAAAAACCAAAACAAACAAAACCCTATAAAATAGTCAAAATAGAAGTAACCCAAATGTGAATGAGCAAGTGAGTAAATAAAACATGGTTTCTACACACAATGGAAGATTAAACAGCCTTAGAAGGGGAAGGCTATCCTGACATGTGTCCGATGGTGTATTTTTACTTTTTTGTTGCTGTTATAAAACACCATGACCAAGGCAA